ACGAGGATCGCGTACCTTATACTCAGAATCACCAAACGGTATTCGCTGAAGGTCATACAGGTCTACGCACCAACTTCGGCACATCCCGACGAGGAGGTGGAGGAAATGTATGAGGATATTTCTAGAGCCATGTATTCCTCCAAAACCGACTACACGGTGTTGATGGGAGACTTCAACGCAAAACTAGGCACAAGAGAAGGCGGTGAGCTGAAGTTAGGGAAATTTGGAGTAGGGCAACGGAACCGAAGGGGCCAGCAGCTGGCTGACTTTATAGAGAAAGAGGAACTCTTTATGATGAACTCTTTCTTCGAGAAGCGGTCCCACAGGAAGTGGACCTGGTCGAGCCCCGAGGGTTCGACAAAAAATGAGATTGACTTCATTATGACGACGAGACGCCAACTGTTCAGTGATGTCTCAGTGATCGCAAGGGTGAAAACCGGCAGTGATCACCGAATGGTTAGAGGCACACTGAACCTAAACGTTAAGTTGGAGAGGTCCCGTCTAATGAAGTCAACGCTCCGTCCCCCCTCGTGCTCTAATCCAGAATCCCGAGACTTTTCAGCTCGAGTTACGTAACCGCTTTCAGTGCCTAGAAGATGCAATGCAGTGGACGATACGAATGACAAGCTCGTGGAAACAGTCCATGCGGTCGGAGCTAAGTTCTGCAAGACTCGCCGCAGAAGAACACAAAAACTCTCCGATCACACTCTTAATCTCATGGCTGTTAGACGGGAGATGAGGCTGCAATCGTCAACAGATTTGACATCGTACAGGCAGCTGAACAGACAGATCTCCAAATGCATGCGGCGAGACTTACGCAACTTTAATACTGCTCGTATTAAAGAAGCGATCGAGCGGAACCAGGGCTCCAAAGTCTTTGCCAGAGATCTGTCTGCCAGAAAGAGCCAACTGTCAAAGCTGAAAACTGAGTGTGGCAGCATTATTTCCGGGACACCTGTGATTTCGAGTGAGATTGAGAGGTTCTATGGGCAGCTGTACACATCATCGTTGGAGCCACACGCAAGTGTGAGTAACGATACAAGAGCAAGTCTTACCCGACACTATTCCGATGATATCCCGGACATCAGTCTGAGCGAGATTAGAATGGCTCTCCAGCACCTTAAAAACGGCAGGGCCTCAGGCGAGGATGGAATTACAGCGGAGCTTCTGTAAGCGGGTGGAACACCGGTACTTGAAGTCCTTCAGAAGCTCTTCAATTCCGTTCTTCATGGTGGCACTACTCCGGAGGCGTGGAGCAGAAGTGCGGTGGTCTTGTTCTTTAATAAAGGCGACAACGCTCTTTTGAAGAACTACAGACCGATTTCCCTTCTGAGCCGCGTCTACGTGCTGTTTTCGAGAGTCATTACGAATCGTCTCGCGCGCAGACTCGATGACTTCCAGTCTCCCTAACAAGCCTGTTTCCGTAAAGGCTTCAGTACCATAGACCACATACACACCCTGCGGCAGATTGTACAGAAGACCGAAGAGTACAATCTGCCACTTTGCCTTGCGTATGTGGACTATGAGAAAGCCTTTGATTCCGTCGAAATTTGGGCGGTGCTAAAGTCACTTCAGCGGTGCCAAGTTGACTGTCGGTATATCGAGGTGCTGCAGTGTTTATACAGTAGGGCTACTATGATTATCCTAGTACAGAACCAGAGTTCGAAACCTATCCAACTGCAGAGAGGTGTAAGACAGGGTGACGTTATATCCCCGAAACTCTTCACCGCTGCGTTGGAGGACGTTTTCAAGCTACTGGACTGGAAAGGATACGGTATTAACATCAATGGCGAGTACATCACTCACCTTCGATTTGCCGACGATATAGTCCTTATGGCAGAATCGCTGGAGGATCTTAGCACTATGCTCAATGACCTCAATGGTGTCTCCCAACGGATAGGTCTTAAGATGAACATGGACAAAACAAAGATTATGTTCAATGTCCATGTCACACCTATGCCGGTAGTTGTGGGGAGCACTATGCTCGAAGCTGTTGACGAGTACGTATACCTGGGATAAATAGTCTGACTAGATAAGTCCGACTTCGACCGAGAGGTCAATCGACGGATTCAACTCGGCTGGGTAGCGTTCGGGTAATTACGACACATCTTCTCGTCAGGATACCTCAATCTCTGAAAACTAAAGTGTACAACCAGTGCGTGTTGCCAGTGATGCCTTACGGATCAGAGACGTGGTCCTTCACTGCTGGCCGTATGAGGACGCTCAAGGTCGCTCAGCGAGCTATGGAGAGGGCTATGCTCGGAGTTTCTCTGCGTGATAGACTCAGAAATGAGGATATCCGCAGTAAAACCAGAGTGATCGACATAGCCCAACGGATTAATAAGCTGAAGTGGCAATGGGCCGACCATATAGCTCGAAGAAGTATTTTTATGATCTACATACGTCTGCTTACGGGTAAAAATTAATAAGTGTAATTAGTGTCAATTTGAATAAATGACTTTTCAAAGTTGAAGTTTTAATTTGATTTATTTCAAACTCATTAATAAAAAATTGTTTAAGCATAATTTTGCACTAACAACCCTTCTTTTAAAATTTACTCTTATATAACATTTAATATTAGTAAAAACTGTATAAAATTTAATTAAGATCGAAAGGGAACCGCATTTAATATGTTTTACCTGTACTTAACAAACGTGACATATCTTCTGAATTCATTGACTTTAAAAGCTCATTTCAGTTTTGTATAATGTCTTATTGTATTTTACACCAATAACTTGATAGGAAAGATTTTTTTTTTGAAAATTCGCTTAAAATGATTACTTTGATACTTTTAACTTGTTTTGCCTGTAGAATTTTAGTGTAATTATGTCACTTATTAGTTACTATAAACATTATACAAAAGAGATCAATTAAATAAAAAGAAATTAATTTTTACATAGGTAATTTATGAAACGATAATAAATAAAACGATTTTTTAATAATCAATCAATTTTATTCCTTAACACATAATTATGGCCATCAATCTCCGATCACTAATGAAGAACAATAAAAGTCAATTAATTAAAACGAATCCTTTTAGGTAAACGGCTTTTAATTTCATTAAGGATTTTAATCTTCTGACGACTCTTCGTCAATCGAAGGTTTAGGTAAACGATCTGCTTGATTGGTTGCAGTTGGTAGAGAAGAGTACCAACCATGGTATTCCTCAGGAATTATTTTTTTAGTACATAAACTTAGAAGATCTCTCCTTTTAGCTTCACTTATGGGTAAAGGGTTCAAGTAAAAGTGTTTTTAGACAATAGTGTGAGGCGTAGTGGTTTGTTTGCGTTTTTTACCTCTAGTACTGAGACGTTGAGAAGGTTCCGTATTTTTTGAGATATCGATGTATAAGAACGTTTCAGACATGTTATAACTAAAATAAATTTTGGAGCTCTTTTCCTGAAAATATCGTATTCTCTTTATTTTGAGCCACTTCACTTGATTTCCATTATTATCTTTTGAGCGATTGATAACAGTTTCATCAGCTAATTTTTTTAAATCGTAAAATTCGTTGTATTTAAATTCTTTCGTTTTTTAGAGCGTTTTAATTAACGAATTACCTTCAACAGTTATTGTTTTTTTCGATCTTGCTCGTTTGAAAATACATAAATAATCAGGCATGCTGTAAACCTCAGAATTTTTATTTGCTGACTAAATACTGCTGTTTATGCTGTCCACCTCCATGTAACTGTGTCCTGATTCAAGAAACTTATGTTCAATTTTTCGTAAGTGAGAAATGTTTTGGACTGCAAATATAAGTAATGCAGCAACATATTAGTTCCGGTTTTGTCCTCCACACGTATTAGAATACAGACAAACTTTGATTACATGAGAAGGAACGCACGTGGAAAGGTAGTGGTACAGGATACTTCCTATTTCGGAACTGCCTCGTTTCCCATTAATTTCGGACCAAGCAAAACAATATGCGTCGTTTAGCAGCGGTACTTCGTATATACAGAGATTGTAAACACATAATTTTCGATAATAAGAAAGCTGTCCCACCAGACCAGAAGGTATCTGTAACACAGCTTGTAACTCTTTATCTTTCTCTGCTATTTCTTTTTCCTTCGCTTTTTCCGAGTAACAGGACGCTTTCCTTGCTAAATGATCCTTGTATTCCCCTTTAAACAGTTTTTCGTCGTCACTATCTTTATTGAAATTGGAGCATATTAAACATTGATCCTTTTTTGGAACAAAAAAACTAAAATTGTAATTGATACAAAATATTCTTCTGTACGTTATTTTAGAAACCGGAATCATATTATTTTCAGTGCACTTGCATAAAGTTGATGGATAACGAAGCATCCAGATAAAGACGCTTAGAAGTTTGCCTTATGTAGTGTGGTTCCATGACAGGAAAGGACTCTATGTATTTTTTCACAAAGTTTACATCAGATTCATTAGTCTTATTAGGGGGTTTATGTTTACCTCTCTGGTCACTATCCTCTTATAGCCCCATATCATTCCGCTTTCGAATAGCATCATTCACAACAGTCGGAGAAATAGCTAGCGTATAACAAAAAAGCTTCTGACATACCTGCTTCTTCTCTCCGTTGTGAAAAAAAGAAACATCTTTTTGTGAATTGACGCTGTTTCTTCGGTCTACGAATAGCAAGAACTCTCTTCGGAGTATCTACTTCCACATTACCGAGAATAAAATTCTTTTGCTCGGTATACCTCAAACTCCAGTAGTAACGACATAAATTATTTCTTTCTTCTGGAGAGATCACACTTCATTTATAGAAACATTTCTCACAGTCAACCTCTTTTGGTGTTTTAGCACTCCTATCTATTTTTCTCGTTGAATAAGGTAAACCTTCAGTACGTCTTTTCTTCGCGATATTTACTTTCCAATTTTCAGGTTCTGGTTTCATCCAACGTTTCCTTTTCCGAGTAGCATCGTATACTCCTTTCAATAAGAGTCCCCAAAGAGATATTACGACTTGTTGTGCATCAGATGTTGGCAACACCAGTGCGAACATAACGTCGCCGTCGTTAGGTTAAAATTCATCGTCATGATCGTCTCCATAGAATTTCACATTTTCTAAGTTCTTGACCTTGTTATTCGCCCATTGTTCTCCAAATAAATCCTCTAGTTGTATTAAAAAGCATAGATCCGGGTTATAAGTTGGATCTTTATCAGAGTCATCGCTGTCAAACATGCGCTCCATTGCCGCCACTATTCTCTCGATAGAGTCGCTCAAAGCCGAAGTACAGTTCGAAGATGGGCTACAAAACCTTTGATGCGAAGGGCCAGGCTCTTCATACAAGTCATCTGTGAAAAATTAAAAAGAAACAAAAGTAGATAATTATAAGATTATAATGTAAACAAACAATGAATCGTGCGCTTAACCTTGACAATAACTCATCATTCTGTGTTAACAATGGAAAGAAAGTGAGTTGATACTTTGTAGGTACCGACATAAGTGCTACAGAGCCATATACACACTCAATTAATTACTTAAAACAAGAATTCCTTACGTACATTTTTGGAACAAACAAAGTCTAGCATAATCGTAACCTTAAAAATGGAGTTAGAAATCATACAAACTTTGTACGAACCTACATACATTGTAAAAAAGCTATGTGCGTACTAAAAACACCATACGAGTACGAGCAAACATTCCATAAGGAAATCGTTGAACAAAACAAAAGCTACTAATATAACCTTAAAATTTAGCCTTATTGTATAAAATTTAGAGTTTAAATCACTCACCTTTACGCATTTTAGTTTATTTATCATAGACACTAATCTTTTTCCTCTGGATTCCATAATTACAATAAAACACAACTTCTTACTAAAATATTGAGCTATTTAAACTTTTATTTCTACGCTGAGCACGTGGAGCACGCGCGCACGCAATGTTACAACTGCGATCGATCGCTCTTCTTCCTACAGGTACAGGCAAAAAAGCATAAATAACATTTATTTCGTTGCTGCTGAAGATACATTAGTAAACCGAGTAGCATTATTTAATTGGTAAAATGGAATAAATATCTTTATTATAGTTATGGTATACAAATTATATGGTTCATAATAATAAATGCGTTTATGACCTTTTCACAGAAAAATTCTTACCATTTTACTATATAAATTATAAAATGTAAAAGCTTTAACCGTATTTATTGTTGTTTAACTGTATAAACTGAAACGAATAGAAGCCATAAGATTATTTATTATGTTATACTGGTATATTTTTTCAAAATATGTGAAGATATCACTTTTACAAACTCTTTAGCTCTGCAGTCATTGGACTCTGCATTTATTCGGTTTTACCACCTACCACCAAAATTATATGTTACTGCATTTTAACTCGATTTAGTAACAAAATGCATTTATCTTGTTTTACCAGTAAACAGACGATAGATTAAATAAAAAAAAAATCTGTATATGTTTCTATTGCTCTCTTACAAGTTTTCATAGAATAATTTACCACACGCTACGGTTAAACCGTGTTGTGCCGGTGTATAAGTATTCACTACCCCATATCGTCTTGAGGGTCTCGTAAGAGGCGATATAGGGAAAATGAAACAGGAGATAGGCAGCAACATTTTCCTGATAACAACTCAAAATAATTAAAGAGTGCGGTTGTCTACCCACTTGCTAGACGTTGCAAATGTGGCAAAACCCTACCATTGGGCAATCTATGAGGGAGGCCTGTGTTTAGCAGTAGACTTTTATAGACTGAAATTAATGGATGGATGGACAGATATATATATACATACATACATATATATATATATATATATATATATATATATATATATATATATATATATATATAGATTATTAATATACCACTGGTTTGGAAGAAAACCTCTGTTCTGGGAACAACCAGCAAGAAACCCGACAGGACTTTTTAAAATAAAATAACAGCTTACAATCATGTATGTTACATTTAACAACACATAACAAATTAGAAACAGCTTGGTAGCGAACACCCTTCCCAGGGTTTATTATCATCCATAAATTCCATATTATAAAAACCCTTCTTTGCTGGTTACAAATAATCTAATATGACTGCTTCGGGGCCTATGGGACATAGGTGCGACTGCTAAAATCTGAGCAGCAGTCCGGAGTCAGGAGCTCAGCGGTACTTCACTCCTGTGCCTCGAAAAGCACGTAAATCCATTGGTTCTACTGATTTGCCGTCCCATCGCACCATAATATTGAGTGCCAGTAGCTGCGCGCACAATAGTGCACTATAATCCTGTCCTACGCAACAGATGGTTAATATCCGTTAGGACTGGCCTGGACGTAAATTCGGTCTGGAGGACATTACTGTTGTAATAAATTACCTCGATTAAATGAGTAAATGTATATAGCTACGATTTTGCCATATAAGCGTTCCAACTACAGAGTATACGTTTAAATGCTTTAACCCTTCAATCCCCATAAAAATTACTTCCAGTTACATGCGTCCGCCAAATCCCGAGCGGTCGCATTCGACCGCAACCACCCACTGCAGTTTAATCATTTAAACTTATGTCAAAAAAATTATGGGTTCCGATAGATGGCTTTATAACCATTTCATTTACGCCAAACGTAAAATATCCAGACCAAGAACAGGAAACAGCATCGAAGTTACAATTCTTAAGGTATTGCGATCATCAATCGGCTTACCAAGCGTAACGATTTAGACTAGTTATTCCTAAAGTGGGAGAAGGTTAATGTTCAGCAGCGGTGAAGAAGAAGAAGAAAAATGGTCATTCATCAACTCTTACTCAAAGATGACTCAGTTCGCTATGCGAAGTCAATCAGGGAAAGGAGGAACTTTATGTTCATGGAGTACTTAAAAATTATTTTCAGTTAATCTCGTCATACTTTGGTAAGAGTTAACTGTTAAACTCATTAAATCTGTTATTCTCGTAATGTTTTCTGGGTTTTAATGAGGATCTTTTGATTAATATATAATGTATAATTTTGTACGTGTTAAAGCCACGCTGGAGCTATATTATGGTTGTAGCGCAAATGTGTTGTTATGACCGGGAAAGTATCACGGTCTTACAGAATAGCGGCGTGAAATGCTTCGGTAGTTAGGAGACGCAGAAATAACTTAATGCTGATGTTCGTATGGTGAGTGTAGGTAAACGGAGACCGTCCTTACTGTAAACGAGGCATTCCATCTTAGTATTCAGGTGTGACAACAAGTTTTTATAGGATATATGTATAAGTATAGATGTACATATCTATGGGGCACAGCATCAAATTACCATCAGATGGACTATGTGCTCGTTTGTCCCTTTTACTCTATAAAAAAAAAAAACAGACCAAAAGAACTTTTAAATAGGGAAACGAGTCATCTCCTTTTTCGCTGGCGCGTCAAAGTCTACTGCTAGACATGAACCTCTTCCATTGCATAATATAGAGAGGATTTGCCCGGGTTGCCACTCTTCACAGGCGGTACCAATCCTCCCCGACTTTATACTTTGTCTCTAAATGCATCCCACAGAAAACTTGTATAGTGTAAAGGAGATGGGTATTTCACCATCGGTAGGCAGCCGTTACATTATTCTAGAATTTTCTAAAGTCGCCTCTTACGACACTCGCGAGACCTAGCAAGCTTAGTAAAAAAATTTATTAACATTGTATAAAAATATTAGTACAAAATATTATATTCTTTAAAATTAATAATTGATTAAAGTGCCTCGGGATAATAATGTTTCGTCATTTTAAAGAGATTCCTTGCGATTCTTCATTGTCATCAAAATTAATTCGGCAATTAATTTCAAATAGGACAAAGCGTTTAATTTAACGCCTCTGTAAAATACAATCACTGAAATGAGCTTAAATTAATTGATTTATTGTTTTTAAATTTATAAAATACATTATGTAACTTACATTGTTCTTAAGAGTTTTAGAGCGACCAAAAAGCTAACAGGTTACTTTATGACAAGTAGCTAAACAACTGTAGACATATTTTCATGTAAAGATTTTTTTTTGGATACAATCATTTGTGGTACAGGAGGAGGTTAAACCCGACCCTTTTTTTTTTCAGCTGCAACTCGAGTTTGGATTTTTCCCGTCAGTTGTGGCTTTTTCGAACTATATGACAAATATCTTTCACTTATTAATCTGTCGGACTATGTTAGCTACTGTTGTTGTACTTAAAATGGGGCAGAAAAAATAGAAGCTTGTCAGCTACGTTCGGAAAAGAAAATAGCAATGCATCCACATCATGTAAATGTACACTACATTTACATGAACCCTTTGGAACCGCTTTTCAACCACCAAAACTCAAAAACTCTTAGAAATTCGCATCCTGCCTGAATCAAATAATAAATTACTAAGAATAATTTGACTGCCTCGTTAGTCCAGTAAGCGTAAGCATGTTGCTGATCATGATATACCATATCCTTTAAAAAAATAAGATGCAGCTAGCCGGATGGATGCAGGTGCTTCAGAAGTTGACTTGTGAGGAGCTGTTATAATGTTAGTGACGATTTCAAAGTCTTACTTTCCCGCTATCGGAGGGACTTGCCACTATCGCAGCCTATGGTAATTTAACGTGGTAGAGTCATGCTGCAGCTGTATTATAGCTCTAGGAAGAATAAGTCGGGTCGACCGGGACCGGACCACACTCTCACAGAATACGAGCGTAAAATAGTAGCTCAATGCTTCTGTGTTTCGTATGGTGAGTGTAGAGAATCATTCATCCATATTTTAAAGCCTATCAAAAGACAATGCTTAACAGAGACCACCCATATAGATTGCTTCATACGGGAAGAACTGCCATAGTTGCTACGTTTTAGTAGGTGGTTTGGCAACCGCAGTTTTTATTGTTGAGTCACCTCTTACGACACCCACGGGAGAGCATGGTAGTAATTTTCTTACCGCCACCACTCGGCTCTGGCAATTTCACATCTGGCATATATGAGATAGATAATAATAATAATGTCCTCCAGACCAAGGGAAGGCTAGCCATCGGCGCAGGACAGGATTATAGTGCCCAAGTGTATGCGCAAGCACAGGTTTACTTTCTATTCCCTCACTCGCATAATACGATGGGACGGTAAACCAACACGACCGGAGAGAGATCAGAAGCAGGACCAACGGCTTTACGTGCTTTCCGAGGCATGGGGGTGAGACACCGCTAACTTCCTGACTCCGGGCGGCTACTGAGAATTTTTTGACAGAAAAACTCAATAATTAATTTTTTGGCCCGACCCGGGATTCGAACCCAGGACCTCATAATCAGCAGTCGCACTAAGCTGCTACTATAAGGACACATTAAAATATACTGATTATAGCCATTACAGAACAGTAAAACTACGTATACAATATGCACAAGTTAAGATTAAATTTAAAGATTTATAAAACCACTTGCAAATAATCAACTGAGAAAGCGCAACCAGCATTCTGGGTACTATACCGCGGGTAGTAGGACTGTATAATACTTTTAGTTTATGGTTTTACGGTTTTTTTTGATGGATTTTTTATATTTCAATGTTATGTACCTATATGTCAAGTAATCTGACAAAAATATTAACCTTAATTTCTCTCTCTTATATCATTTTCAAAGTAATGTTATATGGCGAACTCAACAGAGCACACTGGAGAAATGCTTCCACTTAAAGAAATTTATCTTACATATTATGATATGAGCAATGGATTATCTTTTCATTATTTGAGAAAGAGTATTTGCTCTGCGGATTTCAGAAATTCTTTGAATTTAATTTTTATTAATAGAAATATATATATTAATAGATATATTAATAAATATAT